AGGCAGTTCAGCGCAAGTTCTGCAGCCTCTTAACAACTTCTTGAGTCAATCAGGTTTACACTCCAACCTCCTGAGAAAGCAGAAGTCAGCAGGACGCAGGCTTCTCTGCATGCACTGCACTGCGGAAGACTGCCCATACCTACGGCAACTTTTAAACTCCTGCTATTTCTCATCTCAGTCACAGCAGATCTGCCAGGCAGGTCTGTTGCATTTACTGTAGCTTCTGCACTAGCACGAAGAAGCAAGACTGCCAGACTAACAGGCACCACCAGAGGACACTTGGCTGCCCAAGCTGGGCTCAGAGATGTTCAGGAGGACAAGCCCACACAAAAACACACAGCATCAAAGCAGGCTTGGCCCTGCACAGGAACAGAGATTTAGAGGAGTGGCAATGGTAGGCCTTGGGTGTTTTTCTATTTCTTTCTGTATCTGAACCGTCTTCTAAAAAAGCATCATGACAGAAGTGAGCTAGTGCCCCTCTCAGCTTGCTGCCAGTCACTCAAAACCGCACTTGTCCTCCCAGTCTTTCCACTCCTCTGAGCCATCAACACCCACCTGTATATGAAGCTGTATGTATGTATAGCAAGCCAGATGTACGTGTCTGAAAATGCTGGTGGCACTTAAAACAAATCAGGTAATAATAAAATCCTGTTAAGGATGCTACAGACTGGATATCATATCTAGTCTTCACAAGGCACATCCCTTATTAAGTAATCCCTGAAATAAACAGAAAACTAATCTGCTCTCTAGGCAATCTTCATCATGAATGATCATATATCATAGAAATCCCTCAATTGGAGTAGAAGACTAGTGGGGCCTTGGGCCTGCTCTGTTCTTTGTCCTTGCAGATTAGACTATCCAGGTTAACATCATGACTCTGTACACTTTTTAATATTGCACCAGTTGCTCCTGCAAACCACATTATAGGGGTCAACATCACAACAAGCTGAATGTTTATCCGTTATAGACTGCAACTCTTGTTCCTGAGGTTTGAATTAGCAAGGTTAATATTATGACAATATGAGTATATACTAATTACAAATTTCACAGCTTATTTCTACAAAACTTGTAACCAGCAAAGTCACAACAGCTTTAATATATGCATTAAAAAGTCCCTCCCTTGCTCCCATAGAATAGATTATTGGCATTAATATTGAAATATTCTGAATATCTATTACACATTTCAGGTCTTTTTCCTCATAAAACATATAACCAAGATCATCATAACAGTTTATGATACAGACTTTATCACTAGACATTCTCACTATGTCTTAGCATACAAGCAAATGTTGCACATAGTACAAGCAAAGTTTAACACCTCTAGTGGAGGTGGTAATAGATTCATGAGTCCAATAGCTGTACGGCTTCATCCAGGACCAAAACAGGTTGTCAAAAATGTTCACCTACTGCAGCATAGGCATTTTGCTGTTTGGGGAGTAAAGCAGCACACCAAATGCCCTAGCTGTCCTGGAGCTTGCTCACATCCAGTAGCAGTATTAACTGAGCTCTGACCGTTTTTGCCCAGCACTTGAATTCCTTAGCTTGTAGCTCTTGATCCCTAAAGGACTTTTTGTCCCACTTTATCATTTCATGCTTCTTTTCTTTCCAGAACATCCCTAAATCCTGGCATGTACATCTGGTTTATACAACACAGAATGAATCATAGAATGGTTTAGGTTAGAAGGGACCTCAAAAATCACTTAGTTCCAATCCCCCTGCCGTGGGCAGGGACACCTTCCACTACACCAGGTTGCTCAAAGCCTCATCCAGCCTGGCCTTGAACAATTCCAGGGATGGGGCATCCACAACTCCTCTGGGCAACCTGTTCCAATCCTTCAACACACTCAGAGGGAAGAATTTCTTCCTTACATCTAATCCAAATCAACCCTCTTTCAGTTTAAATCCATTGCCCCTTGTATTATCACTTCACACCTTTGTGAAAAGTCCCTCTCCAGCTTTCTTGTAGGCTCTCTTTAGGTACTGAAAGGCTGTTAGAAGATGTCCCCGGAGCCTTCTCTTCTCCAGGCTGAATAGCCCCAACTCTCTCAGCCTGTCTTCATAGCAGAGATATTCTAGCCCTCTGATCATATTCATGGCCCTCCTCTGCACCCACTTCAACATGTTCTTCTTATGTTGGGGGCCCCAGAGCTGAATGTAGTATTCCAGGTAGGGTCTCGCGAGAGCAGAGTAGAGGGGCAGAATCACCTCCCTCGACCTGCTGGCCACGCTTCTTTGGATGCAGCCCAGGATACGGTTGGCTTTCTGGGCTGCCAGTGCACATTGCTGGCTCATGTTGAGCTTCTCATCCACCAGCACCTCCAAGTCCTTCTTTTCAGGGTTGCTCTCAATACATTCTCTGCCCAATCTGTACTAGTTCGGGAATTAGGAGAGGAAAACTTTGCTATAATTTTTTGTGTCTCTGAAATCAAGGAGAATGGGGACATTTCAGAAGACTAGAGAGGGCAAACCCCCATACCTATCTTTAAAAGGCACACATAGCAGGACCCAGGGATATACAAACTTGTCAATATCTCATTTAAGTATCTGGAAAACATGATAGTAAAATATTAAATAATCAGTATATCCACATACAAAAGATAATAAAGAATAACAAAGTGATAGAGAACTGCCAACATAAAATTGTCAAGAATAAAGTTGTGTCAGACTAATCCAATCTGGCCTAATGGATAAAGCAGGAGCAATAGATCAGGCATAGCTGGGTTTCAGTAAGGTTTTTGGTATTGTCCTATATTCCATTGTGATGAAATATGAACAAATAAAATGGCAGAAAGATGCACTATAGGTGCAGGTGCTCTGCTATGCCTGGAAGGGCTCAAACAAAAGTAAGATTTCTAACCAAAGGATTTACAACCTACAGTAGTTGTTTGCACCTGGAGAGGAAAAGAGGACATAAGTCAGAATATCGGCAATGTTGCATAGCATGTGCTGTGGACATTTGCTTTCAGTATAGAACAACTAAATCCACATCCAGTAGACATACAAGGTTCAAATAACCAGTGTTACCAAAAGCATAGATCACTGGAGGGGTGTCTAAACATGCAATGCTGTGTAATAAAGAGGCTCCATCAACTCATTCCCCAGATTCTGGTTGAAAACGTTCAGAAATCAACAGGATAAAAGTGTCTCAAGGTTAAGGTGTTTCTAACAATGACAGGGTTAATGAAGAGGCAGGACAGAGGATGGAGTTGTGTTCCTGCAGTTAGATAATGGGCTTGAAAATTTGATGTTTTGAGAGGATGAACTTGGAGCATGAGAATATTTATGTTGTTACTCAGTTTATGCAAATACTGTCCTTTGTTCAAGTTATGAAGGATTGGAAACATGTTGCTGACATTTTGTTTTGTGCCCGTTAGTCCATTTTTAAGTTTCTTTCTTAAGCCTTATCTTTCAAGTCTTTCTCAGTCTCACTTGCCTGTTTTATCCAGTTGACCTGTCCTGCCTAACATCTCTGTTCTAAATTTTACAGTATAGAGAGAGTCTCCTTTCTTACTGTCTTTACTGTAATTAGTAAAACGTGGTCTTCATCGTTGCTTTTCGTTCTCAAGCACTACAGTGCTTAATTAAATCTAAGAACACAAAACAAGACCACCATATTTCAGTAATTCTGCATCCAGCAGCCATATGTCTATATGCATTTTGAGCTCTGACACTTATCAACCAACAACTCCTGTAACCAGAGTACGAATTAAAACCCCATCCTTTCAGGGATTACAAATGTGTCCCCTTTTACTGCCAAGTTACCAGCTGAAGCAGACAAATGTCTTAATTAAAAATACATCTGAGAAGCTTCCAATCAAACCATAATATAAACAGTGGTATTTTAAAGACCTCGAAAAAGGCAAACAATATTTCCATCACCCAGCCCAGAGAATTATATGTACAGATCTGGGAAGCCAGTCTTGTATTTGAATAATATCTCAGGATTCATTATCTCAGATCACAACAATAAAAACCACAGTTAACATTTTAACATTACTAAGTGGATGCTGGACACAAATTCTGTTGTTGTTAGAACATTTAAGCACATATCTGACATTTATGCAAGAAAATAACTCCATGTAAGACTCCAAGCTATTCTGACCTGTGGAATATTTACAACACAACACCTGGTTTCAGACTCTGCTCTTGCACCCAAATTGGCTCACTGCAGCTTCAGGCAGGTCTTTGCTTACATGACGGCCACCGTCTTTGCAAAACTGCCAGCCCACCCATTGTGGACCTATTAAAACCAAGTTCCCTTACAAAGGTTCAACCATTGATCTCTTCTGTGACTTGCTTGCAGAAAGATTGTAACACAGAGACAGAAAGGCACAGGTGATTCCCATGAGAAACTGAGAAAGCCTCACCGCTTGCAAACACTGATCCTTGCTCCTGCAGCTTCCTCAGTGCAAACTAGAGCTGCAAATTAAATGTCTGCTGTGACAGTCATAACATTGGGGAAAAAAATATGGTATTGTGTGGGGAAGAAGGACCACTGAATTCCACCCCGTTCTTGCCTTACAGGAGAGAGTGTGAAATGTTGAGGGACATGCCACAGAACTAGTGCTTAACAAGGAGCAACACAAGACTCACGAGTTATGTCTGTCCTTTAGGAGGCTACGGTTATTGATATACAAAGGTGAGAAAAGAAGGTAACGATCAACCTCCTCAAATAATTAAAAAAGGGTTAGTGCATCTTGGTTCTAGTGAATAAAGGCTGGTAAAGGTTCTCTTCAGTTAACCTGTTGGCTACAATGTCTGCTGTTGCTTTATCCTCTCTGTTTCACCCACT